AAATGAATAAACGGATACTTCTTGAGTCTACACCACCTGAGGTGGTGTTTTTCTGCCGGAGGCTGGGGAGTAGGAAGGTGTTGGTGCCGTGGGACAGACCTTTCTGGTGACCTCCTCCCTCCATCCTCCTCACATCTCCCACTTGTTTTTCCCCAGCTCAACCAAAACGCAGCAGCGTGTGTCTCATCTTGGGCTCCTCAAAAAGTGCCCCGACTGAAATACTGCCAGAGACTGGATCTCTGTGACGCTGTCATGGGAACTGTACCGGGAAAGAGACGATTCCCTTTGCTTGTACCAAAAGGAGAACCCATTCCTCAAAAGGAGGAGCCCACAACCTCCCCATTGCCCTCCCAGGTAGGGGGCTGTCTGTGGTGAAAAAAATTATTTCAGCCAGACTTTTCTTTCCCCTGAACGTTTTTGTTACTTTAAAAATATTAACACACGAATATATGTTCATGGTACAAAGATACAAAGGGCATATAGAAAAAAGCCTAGGCACTGAGTTTCTCTATCTAGAAGAAATAATCTTCCAGAAATAGTCCATATAAACACAAGCAAATTCATATATATTCTCCCCACACACATACCCTTTACACAAAGATAGCATACTATTCAGTTTGTTCTCTACCTCACTTATTCCATTTATCAGTACAGCTTTGGCTGAGCGCGGTGGCTCATGCCTGTAATCCCAACAGTTTGAGAGGCCAAGGCTGGAGGATCACTTGAGCTCCAGAGTTCAAGACCAGCCTGGGAAACATAGTGGGACCCCATCTCTACAAAAAATAAAAAATTAGCCAGGTGTACTGGCCTATGCCTGTAGTCCCAGCTACTTTGGAGGCTGAGATGGGAGGATCACTTGAGCCCAGGGGGTTGAGGCTGCAGTGAGCCATGATTGCACCACTGCACTCTAGCCTGGGTGACAGACCTTGTCTCAAAACAAATGAACAAACAAATCAAGCTTGGAGATTGTTCCATATCCTTTACAGAACTACTTCATTATTTTTCACCTTTATGTATTTTATTGAATGCATGTCCCATAATTTATCTACCTAATACCTTATGCATGAATGTTTAGGTAGTTTCCAGTTGTTGGGGTTCAGGGGAGCCCTCAGCTTCCCTGAGAGGACGTTTCTCCAGGTTCTTGGTCTGCTACTCCCCAAGAATGGGAGAAGAGACCACGCATAAAAGTAAATGCCGGACTCAAAAGCGTCTGTAAAAAGTGACTTATTTAGGTAAAGAAAGAGAAAAAAGAGAAGAGAGAAAAATTCCACGAAGAGCGTGTGGAAGCGGGACCCCAGAGGGGAGATTGAGGCAGGTAAAGAGAGTTCCCACTATGTTGCCGGCGATTCCAGAGAGCTGGAAATCCGGTGTGGCTGAAGGAGGAGGGTAATTTATCCTGGAAGAAATTCCCACCTCCCCAAGTTCCTCTGGCCAATGAAAGGAGTTCCTTTAAACTTCCGCTGGGGTGATTGACTCTTAGTTTCTTCCCGCGCGCGCGAAATTTAAACATAAACCGTTAAATCTCCCGGACTGAGAGAGATGGGAGGGGCGCGTGGTTCTGGGAAGTTCTTGCCCTTAAAACTACACCCCCTTGTGGACCCGGAAAGAGAACAAATTTCCTCACAGTCTTTTGCGGTCATAAATATCAATGCACTGAATATACTTGTATACATTTTATTTTACACCTGTTGGCTAATTTGTACGATAAATATCTAGAAATAGAATGACTGAATCAAATTATAGACTTTTTCTTTAAGTGAGAGCAAGTTTATTAAGAAAGTAAAGGAATAAAAAGAATGGCTAATCCATAGATAGAGCAGCCAAAAGTATAGACATTTAAAGTTTTGGTAGAAACTACTTAATTTCCCTTTAATTTCCCTCTGTTCTGGACTGAATTTTGTCCTCCCCAAAAATTAATATGTTGAAGCCTTAACCCCCAATGTGACTGTATTTGGAGATGGGACCTATAAGAAGGTAATAAAGGTGAAGTGGGGTCATGAGAATGGACTTCAATCCAACAGGAATAATGTCCTTGTAAGAAGGGGAGAAGATACCTGAGATCTTTCTCTTTCCCTGTAGACACACAGAAGAGGCCATGTGAGGATTCACCTGCAAGCCAGGAAGAGAGCCTTCACCAGACACCAAGCCTAAAGGCCCTGATCTTGAGCTTCTATCCTATAGAAGGGTGAGAACATAAATATCTGTTGTTTAAGCCACCCAGTCTAATACTCTCTGTAGAGACTGCACCAATTTGGAGACACTGCATCATTATTTATTTATTTATTTATATTTTTTTGAGACAAAGTCTTGCTCAGTTGTCCAGGCTGGAATGCAGTGGCACAATCTCAGCTTGCTGCCACCTCGACCCACCAGGTTCAAGCGATTCCCACGTCTCTGCCTCTCGAGTAGCTGAGATTACAGGTGCCCACCACCACGTCTGGCTAATTATTGTATTTTTAGTCGAGATGTGGTTTTACCATGTTGGCCTGCCTGGTCTCAAACTCCTGACCTCAAGTGATTCACCAGCCTCCCAAAGTGCTGGGATTACAGGCGTGAGCTACTGCGCCCAGCTGAGGCTGCGTCAATTTAAATTTGCACTCCCACTAGTATTATAAGAGAGTAACTATTTTCCTAAATCATCACCAACTCAAAATGTTGTCAAACTCTTTTATCTTTGCCAATCTAATAGGTGAAGAAAGAAGGATATCTCAGGGTGTTTTTATTTTGCATTTTTATTAAGTAAGGCTGGACATCTCTCCATGGATTTCAGAGACATTTTTATTTTTTTTTTCTGCGAATTGTCTATCATATCCTTCATCAGTTTATCTAATAGTTTGTTATTCTTTTCTTATTGATTTATAGGCATATTTTATATTAATGAGATTAAGCCTTCATGATATGAGTTTCAAATATTTTCCCCAACTTGTTGCGTATCTTTTAACTTTGTGAACTTTTCCATTTAAAATTTTTTAAGGATTGAAATTTTGAAGGAATAAAATTTCTCAGTATTTTCTTTATGCCTTCTTATGGGTTTTGTGTAATATTTTAAAAGGTTTTCCCAAGTTAAGAAGAAGTGTCTCATTTTTTCTTCTATTTCTTTAAGGATTTAATAAAAGTTTTGATCCATCTGAAATTTATTTTGATGTAATGCGTAAGGAAAGAAGCCAACTGTATTTTGGCAAGTTAATTGTCCCCAAACCGTTTACTGACAAATCCTTCATTTTCCCATGGATTCGAAGTGCCACAATTAGGATACATTTAATGCATATATTTAGATCTATGGACTTTTCAACTGCCATACTATCATATTATATGTTCATATCTAGGAAGGCTGCTCATACTTTATTATTATCTTAGAAATTTCCTTTTGAACTCTAGAATCAGTTTACCTAGTTTCCAAAAAAAAAAAAAAAATCTTCTTGGTGTTTTTATTGGAAATGAATTAAACTTAAGATCAACTTGGGAAGAAATGACTTCTTTATAATAATGAGTTGTCCTACCCAAGATGGTGATCTTCCTTTTTATTTGCTCAGGTCTTTTTTGGTGTCCCTCCATACCATTTCCAATCTTTTTACTGACAGCACTTCACATTTCTTTTTTCTTTTTTTTTTTTTTTTACTGTGAATATATTTTTTATTTAGTCATTCTGTTTACAGTTGAAACTCTGGGAATTCAAAATTAACATCCTTGCCCGTGAGCTTCTTATAGACACCAGAAAAAGTTTCAACCTTGTGTTCCACATTGTTCTGCTGTGCTTTGTCTAAATGAACATTTATGAGCCGGCTGCCATCCAGTTTCACGTGGATCCTCTTGCCCACAATTTCACTTGGGAAGACCAGGTCCTCAAGGAGTGCATCATGCACAGCTGTCAGTGTACGGCTCCTGGGACGCTTTTGTTTATTTTTTGTACGGCTTTTTCAAGTTGGCTTAGGCAGAATTCTCCTCTGAGCGATAAAGACAACATGCTTCCCACTGAACTTTTTCTCCAATTCGCGTACTAGCCGGACTTGGATTTTCTGGAAAGATTTTAGTTGAGGAACAGGAACAAAGATTATGATAGCTTTCCGGCCACCACCAACTTCAATTTCCTTGGCTGCTGTAATATTCAGCTCCCTGAGCTGAGCCTTGAGGTCCGAGTTCATCTCCAGCTCCAGAAGAGCCTGGGAGATGCCGGACTCGAGCTCGTCTGGCTTCTCGCCATTGGGCTTCACGATCTTGGCGCTCGAACTGAACATGGCTTTCTCCTTGGTGAGCGCCGACTTAGGGAAAAAAAGCAGCACTTCACATTTCTTAAGTTTATTTCTAGAAATTTCATCTTCTGTTGTTGTTGCTATTATAGATTGGGTCTTTAGTTACATTTTCTGAGTTGTTATTTATTGTAGGTATGAAAACTATTGGTGCCTATAATTTTGGTATTAGCCAGCTCACTAAATTACCTTTTATAATCATTGTTAGTAAATTCATGTTTTCCAGGTAAAAATGATATCTTCGAATAATGAAAAATTAACTTCTTTATTGTGAAGAATCTTTCTTGGGAGAGAGTGAAAGGCAGAAGTTTCATTTTTTTTTTTTAACATAATAAGATCCTTCAAATGAGTTCAAAAGTTCAAAGTTTAAAAAGTGTAAAAGAGTAAACAACAGAAGTATAACCTTTCTACCCCACTGCCTAGATTCCCTCCCCACAGGCAACCAATATTTTTTGCAGTATGTTTTATATCATTCTATAGACATTTCATTGACATGCAGGCAAGTACAGCTGCTATGAGTGCTTCTGGTAACACAGTTTCAGAAGCCCAGGTAAGGCCAAATATGAGATCTTTGTCTTGTCTCTTCAGGAACTAAAGACGGAAAAATTGAAAAGTTGTAGGGCCTGAGTCCCAAGATAGTTCCAAACCTTCTCTGGTAGACTGTCCCAGACCAGGTAGGCTTGGAAGAGTTGGGGTCCCAGCTTCTACTTTTAAGATATTTATTTTTCACCAACAAATTCTACTTCCTTATCTCTTTCACACAGTTAAATTCCAGACACACATGTTCTCTCTATTATCAAAACAGCCCATGAACATCTAGCAGCTTGCAGCCCCTGACATGTTTAGGGCCTGAGATTTGGAGTTGGATATGGGCCTCCTGTTTGTGGCATCCTCTCTTCCAGAGTCTTCCAGTGCAGTCCCGATGACATCTCTGAGAGCCTCTTGAAGCCACTGAAGCAATAGGCTTCAAGGTTTCCTCTAGGCTTCTCCAGTTGGCAGGTCTTCCCCATTCCACCCCCCTCCTCCAGGGCTGCCAGACATATCCCTGCCTGGGCCTCCTGGCACAAAAGATAAAATGAACAGGGTTACTCCCAGCAACTGGTCCAGGAGATACCAGCAGGGAGGGAGTAGGAGAGAATAAACCTGTCAGTGTGTCACAGGAGTAGTGGAAGGAAGTTTCGTTATTTCCAGCCTCTTAAGCCAGCAAAAGTGCATTCATCATTTTCTGACTGGAAGAGAGAAGGCACAGAAGGAGCCCAGAAGCAACAGTTCAAGACAGGTGCTTCCTACGGCCAAGTGGATAAGAGGAGCAGCCTGCAGCCATGGGACAGGGTGAGCCAGGCCAGTGCTCCACAGGGCTTGCTGGACTGTCTGCAGCCCCCACAGCATTATCTGTTTTCATTAAAGGAAATGGGATGGATGGTGGGGAGAAAGATGGTGGTATAACCATGGGGGTGGGTGGGGGTACTGGTGATAGTGAGGCAGCTGTGGAGGGGGTGTGGTAGGTGGGTGCTGGTGAAGGTGATAGTGAGCTGGTTGTGGAGTGGCGTGATAATGGGTGCTAGTGGAGGCAGAGGTGATGGTGAGGTGGCTGTGGAGTGTGGTGTGGTAATGGGTGCTGGTGGAAGCCGAGGCAATGGTGGAGTGGATATAGAGTGTGGTGTGATAATGGGTGCTGGTGGAGGTGGAGGTGATGGTAGGGTGGTTGTGGAGTGGAGTGTGGTAATGGGTGCTGGTGGAGGTGGAGGTGATGGTGATGTTGCTATGGGGTGGTTATGGGGTAGGAAACTGGTCATGATAGTTGCATGATGATGGTGAGCTGGTGATGGTGGTTAACTTAACATGGGTTTATATTCTTATCCCAAGGTCATCATAGCATAAGTGTTCATAGCTTACTGATACAAATGAGAGATACTATATGATACAAATGAGAGACACACTGGGAAGCATGAAGGTGCCAAAGCTTCTACACCAAACAGGAGAGAAGGAGAGGTGGGAGTCAGGGAATCCACCTAAAAGGGGTAGAGGCAGACACAAAGCAAGAAACCAGCAGAGCTGGTCAGAGTCATAGCACTCTTGGCAGGAATTATTATATCCTGTCCTGGGAACTGCCTGGCTGTCTTGTGTCTTTTTTTTTTTTTTTTTTTTTTTTTTTTTTTTTTTTGAGACGGAGTTTCGCCCATGTTACCCAGGCTGGAGTGCAATGGCGCGATCTCGGCTCACCGCAACCTCCGCCTCCTGGGCTCAGGCAATTCTCCTGCCTCAACCTCCTGAGTAGCTAGGATTACAGGCACGTGCCACCATGCCCAGCTAATTTTTTGTATTTTTAGTAGAGACGGGGTTTCACCATGTTGACCAGGATGGTCTTGATCTCTTGACCTCATGATCCACCCGCCTCGGCCTCCCAAAGTGCTGGGATTACAGGCTTGAGCCACTGCGCCCCGGCCCTGTCTTGTGTCTTGAGAGAAGGAAGTGGGTAGGCAGAGGGAGATGATGTGGAGGTGTGGGGACAGTGGGATGCAGCTATGGTTCTCTTGCTATGGAAACTGCCTCACTCCCCTGCCCTGGTTGGCCATTCTGGTATGCAGAGGGCAACTGACCCTGAGACCAACACCTGAGGGAGGGAAAAAGAATTCTGGGTGAATTCAGTCAATCATCTCAGCCACATCTTGTGAAAATAGGACAGACACCAATAAATCATTCTTTTTATTCTGTAGAGACCAGACAAATTAAAAATCTACTCAATCAGAGAAACATATTTGAAGATAACAGGAGATTGTTTAGTCTAGTCCCAAATCCCTGTGGGCGCTAAATCATTTCCAGGCAGTGGGTGGCAGATGGTGCAGTAGCCACCAGATGACAATCAGTGAGTATGAGCTCATGACGTGCTGCGGTGGCTGGAGCTGGCTTGTGCTGGTTTGCAAGAGCCAATTGCTAAATTTTGAGGCATCTTGTGAACCAGTTCTTAAACACAGGCATTATTAAAAATTAAATTGTATAAACTTACAAGTAAAAAGCTACATTAAAAAGAAAGATAATAAGTACTCTAAAATTGTCACCTCCTACATAATTTTCCTCTTTTTACCTTTATGTTCTTGAGGGTGTTTATGTCTCTTTTATCTCTATGGTAGAAAAACTACGTGATGATGTGCCACTCTGTGCTTCTTCTTAGCTCTATGCTCGCTAACATCACCTCAGTAGCTTCTAACTGGCCACAGGGATAGTATTTTACACCACAGAACTCTAGCAAATGCTGTAACTCTGTACTGTTCCCTCACCATTCCCCTCCCTCCAGCCAGTTGTCAAACACAAAACTGCTTAAGGGGCACATTTGAGGCAACGCTGGGGCATTGTGAAAGGCAGAGATTGAGGAGGGTGGGGTACTGTGCACCTCTGAAGAGCATTCCATGTGGTCTCTGTGTTAACGCAACTTCTCATGGGCTGTGGTACAAATAGGAGATGCTGGGAAAACATGAAGGTATCATTGCCGCAGGCCCCAGTGGGAGAGAAGTAGGGGTAGGAGTTAATGAATCCACCTAAAAGGAGCAGAGGCAGAGATAAACAAAGAAACTAGGCAGACCTAGAGAATGCAGAAACCTCAGAGGCCCTGCGAGGGTCTGGCAGCACAGGTGGAGGCCTGAGGCCCCTGTGATGCATTTGAGAAAATCTCCTTTAAGGCTGTCTCAATGTTTTCATCCATTCATTGACAGAGCAAACACTGATTGGCTATCTCTTGAGTTCTGCTGGGGCAGGGGATGCAGATATTAGAAAGCACTGTACTTCAGGGAGCTCACAGTGAAAGGGGAAGCAGAGGGCTAGGCAGGTGATGGGTATCAAATGGGTTAAGTGCTGAATAAAGAGGATTGACCTCTACCAGCAGGGGTCAGTGAAGGCTACAGAGGTGGGTGCCTTTGGATCTTGGAAGATGAGTAGACATCTGCCAGGTAGAGAAGAGATGACGGGAGGCTTCCAGACAGAACCAGAATCCAAATGAATTCTAGTGACTTTTGCTGTAAAGCTGTGGTCATTACATGGGTTCAGATACACTGAGGCTCAAGTCATATGACTTAAAATGTGACTAAGGCATTGGACGATCCAATCCAACTCAACCAGTCCGCAGCGGCAGGCTCATCCTGGGCCCCAGCACAAGCTTTGTGCTAAGCAGAAAGAGAAATCATTGTTGATTTCCGAGTGCCGCTGTACTTCAACTTACAACCCTGCTACCCTGTGGCTACTTTATCTATAGCCATGGGCTGACCAAGCCAAGTAGAGGAGGGGGATACAAGGATGCAAGGGGCACCCAAGGACACCAGGATGAGAGACAGAAGTTTCTTCCCTCCTCTGCACAGTTTCATATTTCTTCATATTCAACCACTTCAGTTCTTTTGTCCTAAATAGATATCATTGGCATCTTCTATTGTCCCCAACACTAGTGAAAGAAAAAGTAGAACATCCTTCCCTTCTACTCTTCAGCTGTAAGCCAGAGGGACTGGGGACTGAGCGAAATTTGAAGTAGGAGTATCCTGAATTTGACAAGATATGTCTTGTAGTCTAATGGACATTGCCATCAGGGTCGTATCACTTCTCTGAAGTGGGTTAGACTTCATTTCATACCTGCAAGCAAAAACTATAGCTTCTCTCTTAGGGCAACTGAGCCAGTGCAAAAACTGTAGGCTGCCTTTCAGACCAAGGAGATTCCCAATGGCCTTCTGCCATCAAAGGAACAAAAAGTACACAATTCCTTTGCTGAAAAAAACGAAACAAAACAAAACAAAAAACCCTAAACCTCTTTTTCCAGCATTGTTCTTTATCTTTTGGCTTCTTTACTCCTCGTTTTTTTCTTCCCTCTTATGTTAATCTGTTCTCACACTGTTATAAAGACATACCTGAGACAGGGTAATTTATAAAGAAAAGTGGTTTAACCGGCTCATGGTTCTATGGCTGTACAAACTTCTGCTCCTGGGGAAGATTATGGCAGACGGTGAAGGGGAAGCAAGCACATTTTCACATGGCTGATGGGAGACAGAGAAAGAGAATGAAGGGGGAGGTGGTACACACTTTTAAACAAGCAGCACGGGGGGGTGGTGCTAAACCATTAGGAACCACCCCCATGATCCAATCACCTCCTACCTGGCCCCTCCTTAACACAGGGGATTACAATTCAACCTGATATTTGGGCCTGGACACAAACCCAAACCATATCACCTCTGTTAAATGATAATTGACTAACAAACTCAGAAACTCATAAAACTCTTGAGTGACCTCCTTGAAGGGTTTTTCTGGGCTGCATAGTGTTGTGAGTTTATGATAAGACTTTAGGTCAAAGAGCCATCATGCGCAGTCTCAGATGAGTCAGTTCCACACTCAGCCTCACTCTTCTCATCTATAAAACAAGAGAATTGGACTCATTGATCTCAAAACCAGTTCTAAAAATTATCTGGTTGTGCTCTAAGGAAAAATGAATAGGGTTGAGAAAGATTGTGGGTTTTATTCATTACTTGTGGACTGGGACCAGAAAAAGGAGGCCAACAATGAGAATAAGCATTGTTCTTATTAATAATAACAACAATAACAGTTTCATCATTTATTGGGGCTTACTATGTATCTGACACTGTGCTAAATGTATTATACATCATCAAATCCCCATCACTCTGAAAGGAGGGATGATTTTTCTAAGGAAAATGAAACCGAGACTTAGGGTGGTTAAGTTACTTGCCTTGGATTGCACTAATAAGTTCGTGGAGCCGAGGATTTGAACCCTGGTCTCTCTGACTCCAGAATCTCTGCTTGTACTTATGCTGTCACATTTACCTAGTTTCCATGACTTCTCTCTTTCCCACAACAGCCCTGGGTATCAAGAGCTGCGACTTTCAGGTAGCAAGAAACAATGAGGAGCACCACACCAAGGCCCTCAGCTCCCGGCGCCTCTTTGTGAGGAGGGGGCAGCCTTTCACCATCATCCTGCACTTCCGTGCTCCAGTCCACGCATTTCTGCCTGCTCTGAAGAAGGTGGCCCTCACTGCACAAACTGGTTAGTGAGACAGGCCTAGACCCCTTTGGCAGCAGCCCTGGGGGTTTCTCTCCAACACCATGTTAAGGAATCAAGAGGCAACTGGCCCACACTGCAGGTGGGCCATAAGAAGTCCTGCCTACCTGGCAGGGTGGTCATGAGGGTGCCACAAGACGAGGTGCCTGGTAAATATTATTTATGATAACTCAGAAGCTGCCCAGCAGCAGCATCACCAAGGGTTTCCTTTCGGTTACACAGATAATAGTAGCTTTGTAGAAAATTCTGGATGGAATCAAATCCAGGCTAAATATAACATTTAATTGCTACTGTTTATTGAATCCATACTACCTGTCAGGTGTTGGGCCAAGTACTTCACATGCAGTATTTCATTCAGTCCTCACATGGGCCATGAAGCAGGTACCATTGTGATGCCCATTTTACAGACTATGAACCTTTCTAGATGTAGGTCCATGGACACTGACAGCCTGTGTTCTCCTATCACTCTTTCTTGATGGGCCTCATTTCTGGATGGGTCGCATTCATTATCCTCCAAAAACAACTTTCACCTGCTCCATCTTCTTAATACCCTGACCTTATTACTCTAAGTTGTGACCAAGAAGTCCCAATGACTGACTGATCACTGTGTGACTGCAGGAGAGCAGCCTTCCAAGGTCAACAAGACCCAAGCCACATTCCAGATTTCTAGTCTGGGGGACCAAAAGTTGTGGAGTGCAGTGGTGGAGGAGAGAGATGCCCAGTCCTGGACCATCTCTGTGACCACACCTGCGGACGCTGTCATTGGCCACTACTCGCTTCTGCTGCAGTTCTCAGGCAGGAAGCCATGCCTCCTGGGCCAGTTCACGTTGCTCTTTAACCCCTGGAATAGAGGTAAGTTTGGACCTTGGCCAGCATGGGCTGCACAGGGACTCCAGGCACTGGAGCTGGGATGCAGTTGTGGCAGGGAGCACCTGTGCCAGGCCCCTGCGGCAGCCCTCTCTAAGGGTAGCACCAACACCTAGTCTGTGCCAGGGCCTTCTCCCTGGATGAACCAGCTCTCAGACTCAGGGTGCTGTCTTGGTGTCACTCCCGGGATGAGCAGGTTGAGGCTTCCCACCAAAAGCAAAAGCTGTCTCACCACCAGACCCTGGTGCTGGCTCAGGCTATTTTGGTCACAGGATTTGAGACTCACTGAGATGACGCTGGGAAAGCTGCCCTTCATTATAGCAGTACAGGGGTGAAAACTGGAGAGGGCCTCAGGATGAAGTGGCCTGAGGAGGGACTTCTCTCCCTCTCCCTGCTATTCTGTGTCCAGAGTGTTTTCAGGTTTTTCAGGGCCTAAAGCTGACGCAATCTGGGGGACTCTCTTACAAAAAAGAATATACAATTTTGAATTGATAAGGCTCCCCACCAACCAGGGCCCCAAGGGGTCTGTGTTATCTCACAGGCTTCTTCTGCCCTCCAGGAAATCTACTGTTCCTGGCTTTGTTCCTCTCTTCTGGCTCATTCTGTTCTTGCGGATTGCTGGGCACTCTCTAGACTGACCTGCCCTGTGTTGCCCAGACTGGTCTCAAACTCCTGGCCTCAAACTATCCTCCTGCTTTGGCCTCCCAAAATGCTGGGATTGTAGGTGTGAGCCACTGCACGTGGCCAACCAAGCTTTTTAAGTTTGTTCTTGTCTGCCTGGCTCACCATAAAGGCCATACTCTGATTGACCCAGGGACTCTGGGCTGGGTCCCAGTGGGGACAGTGTTGAAGGGGTGGCCAGCAGCCAAGCCTAATCTCAGCAGGGAGGACAGAGGCCTGGATGTGAAATACGGACCTAGCACACCCCACAGGCCCTCATCCCTACCCCTTCTTACCAGATGATGCTGTGTTCCTGAACAATGAGGCTCAGCGCAGGGAGTACTTGTTGAACCAGAATGGTCTCATCTACCTGGGCACAGCTGACTGCATCCAGGCAGAGTCCTGGGACTTTGGCCAGGTACCAGGGCCCTCTAGGGGAGGAGTGTGTAGAGTGACTGTCCCATAACCTTGTATGTTCAGGCTAGACAGACCTGGTAGGTCCAAAAACCCCTGGTCATGAGACCATTTCTCTAGCCCATTTCAGCCTTGTGATGCCTTCCTTTCCTTTAAGCCACATCAGAACACCCTCCGGAGATATCAGAATTATTTTCCTTAAAACTGGCAAATCAAGCCTCAGTTAAATCCCCACTGTCTTCGAGATAAAAACCAAATACCCCTAGCCTAACATCCACAGCCCTTCCAGCCAGGCCCCTGCTTTCCTTTCCCCATGAACCACCCCATGTTCCAACTCCACCTCCCCAGAGCAACAGGCTGAATGTTCCCTCTGCCAGGAAGGGCTTCCCACCCTTATCTCCTGGCAAGCTCCTGCCCCTCTCTCAAGACCTTCTCTAAGCCTTCCCCAACCCCAAAGGCAGAGGGAGCCTCTCCACTGTGCTGCTCTGTGCTGGCATCTCTACAAGAGCCCTGGCCATGCTGCTGTGCCCTGTATCTAAGCGGCTGCATGACCATCTCCATTCCTAAACCATGGGCTCCTCAGGAGCAGGAGCTGCCTCGGTATTCTCCACCTCCGGTTCAGGGCTGGTAGGAGCAGTAGGGGCTCACTAAATAGAAATGGAATGCAATGCGATGAAACAAAGCCATGCAGCACTAGTCCTCAAGAGCTCACACCCTACTGGGAGTCAGACAACAGAATGGGCAAAGGACTGGATGCCTGGGAAAAGGAACCCAGGGCACATTGAGGGGTGGGAGGAGGGAGCCAGAACTCTGAGGGATGAGGCAACGGAGGCAGGTGTGGAGCACGGGTCTGGGAGAAGGACGAGATGATGAGGCTATCTTGTGGGATGAGTGCCTGACCTGGAGACCCTTCATCATGGCCCTGTGTGATCCTTAACAGTTTGAGGGGGATGTCATTGACCTCAGTCTGCGCTTGCTGAATGAGGACAAGCATATAGAGAAGTGGAGCCAGCCGGTGCACGTGGCCCGTGTGTTGGGTGCCTTGGTAAGTGAGAGGCTGGGGAACCAGACGGGGCGGAGGTAAGGCAAGAGCCCTCCGACAGACCTGCCCCATCACCGTGACCCCGTAAATCACAAATGGCCCCCTCTTCCCAGGGTGCTGGGATAGTTCCTACAGAAGGGTCTGAGGAGGAGAAAAAAGGCAGGCAGTAGCATCCACAGCTGGAAGAAAAGCAAAGAAATGTGTCACACCTCAGGACACAAGCTCGCAGAAGACTAAGCCCTTCTTTCCATCCCCACACCCAGCCCCAACCTGGAGCTTAGGTTCATGGGAAGGAGCAGGAAGGGCCCATCTTACCCAGTGCTCGCTGCTGCGGTGATCAAAGGGACTTCTAAATTATTTGTAAGAATATGCAGACCATGATGGTTACCGGGCATGGTGGTTCACACCTGTAATCCCAGCAATTTGGGGGGCCAAGGTGGGTGGATCACTTGAGGTCAGGTGACAGACCAGCCTGACTAATATGGTGAAATCCCATCTCTACTAAAAATACAAAAATTAGCTGGGGGTGGTGGTGCCTGCCTGTTATCCCAGCTGCTCAGGAGGCTGAGACAGGAGAATCACTTGAACCCAGGAGACGGAGGTTACAGTGAGCTGAGATTGCACCACTGCACTCCAGCCTGGGCGACAGAGCAAGACTCCATCTCAAAAAAAAAAAAAAAGAATATGCAGACCATGATGGTAACTTGGTGCTTTCCCTTGTCCCTAAAAATCCTCCCAGAGGAGTCATGCATTCGCCATTCCCTCTTTGCCACTGACGTGACATCTGAAAAGGTGGCAAGGGTCCAGGTCAGCCTGTGAGTTGAAAGAAGCTTGGAATAAATGGCCTCCAGGACCCAGGCACAAACCACCTCAAATGAGTCAGGACGGAAGACGAAGAACCAGTGAAACCAGCCCCTAAGGAAGGGCAGCTCTCATGCTCCTCTTTGTGGCTGGAGCCAGAGGACTTGTTAAGAAGAAGGGTCCTGAACTCCTGCCCTAGAGTATGACCCAGGGGCCTAGGACAGAGCCCAGGAGCTGTAGGTTTAATCAGTACCAGGTAGCTCTGATGCCAGAGATCTGTTCACCATGGTTGGAGTACTGCGGTGAGCCCTCTTTACCCATGCCCTGGAAGCTGTCCTACCTGAGGGATTCATACTGACATCCACACATTTCCCCAAACAGCTGCATGCTCTCAAGGAGAAGAGGGTCCTGCCCACCCCGCAGACCCAAGCCACCGAGGAAGGAGCCTTGCTGAATAAGCGACGGGGCAGTGTGCCCATCCTGCGGCAGTGGCTCACCGGCCGAGGCCGACCTGTGTATGATGGCCAGGCCTGGGTGTTGGCCGCTGTTGCTTGCACAGGTTGGTCCCCTTGTCTGCTGTACAGAGTGCCCTGCCTCTTGGGTTGTTCCCTGGCCTTCCATGTGGGAGGGACATTTCCAAAAGCAGGGGCTGCCTCCCTGTGGCCACATTTCCCCATCTCATCACACAGAAGTGGTTGTCCCAGGCAGCTCCTCCCACCAGCTTCTGCTGCTTTTCCCCCAGCAGAGTTGGGCTCATTTGCAGACTCTGCTCCCAAATTCACTTACTCTCCTAAGTCTGCCCCAGCAGGGCAGCCCTGCAGCTCTGTGTTCTAGGTTCTGTTGCCCTCTCCCCTGCTGTATACCCCAAATGCGGTAGAACCTGTGCCTTATTGATTAGCCTTTATGCGTCCTGTTCTTGGCTGCCACTTCTAGGTGCCTGCACTCCTCCTCCCAGGTTTTCAGTGCCCAGAGGAAATGTGAATGTGTCCATACTGAAAATGCCAGCCTTCTACACGCCCCCAGCTTGATCTCTCGAGTGCCCCCTTACACTCCACCCCTCTTCTCACAGTGCTGCGATGCCTGGGAATCCCTGCCCGCGTGGTGACCACCTTTGCCTCAGCACAGGGCACCGGTGGGCGTTTGCTCCTAGATGAATACTATAATGAGGAGGGACTTCAGAACGGAGAAGGCCAGAGAGGCAGAATCTGGTGAGAAGCCTGAGAGAGATGAGGTTCCAAGCCAGGAAGGGCTGAAACCTGCATGGCACACCTCTGCAGGAGTGCCATCCCCTGCGTGACCCTGGCATGGAGGAGAGTAGGCTTTCAAGACCCTTGGAGGCGAGCGCTGATGGTCAGTGGTGGTGTGCACGCACCTTCCTGGGAGTGCCACAGCCACTGTGACACAGTGACCTCCCATCCCACTGGAACAACAACTGTGCCAGAACCTCTTCAGCACCCCTTTTCCTTCCCACTTGAATTTTTCTCTTTGCTACATTTAGGATCTTCCAGACTTCCACAGAGTGCTGGATGACACGGCCTGCCTTGCCCCAGGGTTATGATGGATGGCAGATTCTGCACCCATGTGCTCCTAATGGAGGTAGAGGTAAAGCCTAGGGTTGGGTTTAGGACCATGCAGGGCTGCACAGAGCTGCAAGAGATGAAAGAGTCCCCTGGAGAGGACTCGGGAGCAGCAGGCAGTCCCAAGGGGTCTGCGTCCTCAAAAACAGGAGAAGCACGAGGCATGACAGTGGCCAGCAGAAGGCTGATCTGATGCCAGTGGGCTCATGGGAATAGAGGTGCCAGCCATTCCAGCCACAAGGTTATAGGGAGATGAGGCACCTTAGAGCAGTGGGTTAGGGAGTTGGGTTGCAATGAAGGGCAGAGAATCTTTTTTTTTTTTTTTTAATAATTTCAACTTTTATTTTAGGTTCAGGGGCTAGATGTGCAGGTTACATGGGTCTATTGCATGATGCTGAGATTTGGTGTGTGATTGCTCCCATTACCCAGGTACTGAACATAGTACCCAATAGTTTTTCAACCCCTCCCCATCCCTTATGCCTCGTAGTCTCCAGTGTCTGTTGCCATTTTTATGTCCATGAGTACTCAATGTTTAGTTCCCACTAGTAAATAAAAACATGCAACATTTGGTTTTCTGTTCCTACATGAATTTGCTTAGGATAATGACCTCCAGCTGCATCCGTGTTGCAACAAAGGACATGATCTCATTCTTTCTTATGGCTATGTAGTATTCCATGGTATATATGTACCATATTTTCTTTATCCAACCCACCATTGATAGGCACCTAGGTTGATTCCATCTTTGCTATTGTGTATGGTGCTGCAACAAACATATGAGTGTGTGTGTCTTTTTGGCAGAACAATTTATTTTCTCTTGGGTATATATCCAATAATGGGATTGCTGGGTTGAATGGTAGTTCTAAGTGCTTTGAGAAATCTCCAGCTTTTCATAGGATCATATGATCATAAGGATCTTAAGTTGGTGAGTGGCTGTGTTAGGTCAGGGGCTTGCAGCAGGGGGGTTCTGAGGACGTGGATGAAGAGGGTATCAGGATAGGCTACAGCCCAGAAAAGGAAGCTTCAGGACCCATAAAAGATAGCTCTTCCTCACCCAGGAACAGAAATGGTACAGAGCCTGGCACCTAGTAAGTGCTCAAGAAAGGCAGCCCTATTCCTGTGATATCAATAGTAAAGCTGGTTTGGGAGTTTCTCACGCTAAGTGTGGCCCTCTCAGCTTCTGCCTGTCCATTTCCTGAGACGGCTCCTACCATATGCCATGACCAGAAAGTCTTATCACTAAATAGTTGATCACTAAATAGTTTCACCCCTGTGACTCTCTCAGAAGCCCTGCCTAGCGCTGACCTCTGACCTTGGTCCTCGGGGAGGGAAAATAGGCAAGAGGATGGGGACTGAGATTATGCAGCTCTGAATTGAGCACAGGTCTAGGCATGGCTTCCGGGCTCACCAACCTTTCTCTCCCTTAGTCCTGGGGTCCTGTGATCTGGTGCCAGTCAGAGCAGTCAAGGAAGGGATGCTGGGGCTGACCCCTGCAGTGTCAGACCTCTTTGCTGCCATAAATGCCTCATGTGTGGTCTGGAAGTGCCGTGAGGATGGGAAACTGGAGTTGACTGACTCCAACACAAAGTATGTTGGCAACAACATCAGCACCAAGGGTGTGGGCAGTGACCGCTGTGAGGACATCACTCAGAACTACAAGTATCCTGAAGGTATGGGCCAGGGAAGGGCCCCAGGCTTCTCGGTACCTGAAACAGCAAATGAGGGAAAGGGATGGGCCTGGCAGATGCAGTCAGAAAGAGTCCCTGTCCTTTCCCCATCATATAAAACAGGGTTTCTCAACCCCACTGGACACCATTGACATTTGGTGACAGATATTTGTTGTAGGGGCTGCACACCCTAGGACATTTAGCAGCATTCCTGATCCTCAGAGTAAGTCTAAATTCTTTCACATAAAAGATTCAGTTCCCTGCAAAACTGTCCTCAGAGACAGTGTGACTTGTCCCCAACCTTGCTGTCTCATCATTCAAGGGGCAAATTCATAACACTTGAAAAAGAACTTGGTCCTTGAGTGGCTTGGAAGAGACACACTGCGTCGGTGCTGGATCTGCCTCACACAGACATTTTGGGGCTAAATATGGCCTTAGAGGTTTGCAGAGCTCTTGTGACTTTGGCATTTAAGCAGAAGTGGGTAAATGGTTTTGATTCCTGTTCTTTTATTAGAAGCATTTACATCTCCTGGGTAAAAGATTGGCTTTGTTTCTTCCCTTCTCCAGGTTCTCTTCAGGAAAAAGAGGTGCTGGAGCGAGTCAAGAAAGAGAGAATGAAATTTGGGAAAGACAATGGCATCTGTCCTCCCAGTTTCCAGACTGCCAATCCTCTGTACCTGTTCTTGAAAGCACCCAGCTCCCTACCCTTGAGAGGGGATGGCCAGATCTCAGTGACGCTGATTAACCACAGTGAGCAGAAGGCAGTGCAGCTGGCAATTGGGGTCCAGGCTGTGCACTACAACGGTGTCCTTGCTGCCGAGCTCTGGAGGAAGAAGCTGTCCCTCACACTCAGTGACAACCTGGGTAATGCTCTATGGCCACAGCAGACATCCCACACACACATGGCTCTGCCTTGGGCAGGCAGCAGCCACAGGGCACCCCCCTGCAGTTTCTCGAGATGGCTTTGAGCCCCTGGTGCTCATTCTTGTGCTCTCTCTCATTCACTTATTCAACACATATTTATTGGGCCCGAAGCAGGAAAAAAATATGATACCAACTGCAATCAGATCAGTAAACAGACCCTTCATAGCAGTGTGAGAAACGTTTGCCGAATTTAACAGAGTATGATGGCAGGGGTGCATCTCCTTCAGGCTGGAGTACGCTGTCCCCAAATAAACTGTACTGCATTGAATCTGGAAGGATGAGTAGGAGAGTAATGGCCAGAAAAGTAAGTCATAGCATTTCAGATGGAAGGAGCAACATGTGCAAAGGGCCCTCCTTATCCCTGAGGTTCTTATTTAATTGGTCTGGGATGGGGTCCAGGCATTGTTTTTTTTTTTAAAACAAACAAGCAAAAAACACCCTGTGTTATTCTATGGTTAAGATTCCCTGAACTAGAGCAATTGCTCTTAATTTTTGCTGCACATTAGAATTACCTAGGGAAGTTTCATGCTCAGCCTGTGTCCCAAGCCAGTTAAATCAGAAATTCCGTGGTGGTCCAGGCTTGGTAGCTCATACCTGTAATCCCAGCACTTTGGGAGGCCAAGGCAGGTGGATCACCTGAGGTCAGGACTTAAGACCAGCCTGGCCAACATAGTGAAACCTTGACTCTACTAAAAATGGAAAAATTAGCTGGGCATGGTGGCACACATCTGTAATCCCTGCTACTGGGGAGGCTGAGGCAGGAGAATCACTTGAACCCAAGAGGCGGAAGTTGCAGTGAGCCAAGACATGCCACTGCACTGCAGCCTGGGCAACGCAGTGACACTCCATCTCGAAAAGAAAAAAAAAAAAAAACTCTATGGTGGAATATATCAGAATTTTTAAAAACTCAGGTAATTCCAATGTGCAGACAGGTCTGAGAATCAGTTGACTAGAGCTTGTCTACAGCATTACAACAGGCTTCTAACCAGTCACCCGACCTCCAGTCTCTGCATCACTCTTCCCTTTCCAAGCATGGGAGGAGTGGAGTCAGGGGAGTGACATGAGAGCTGGACAGGGCCCGGGTCACACAGGGTCTTATCTGTCTTGCTAAGGAGTTTGAGTTGTGTTCTCTGAGTAATGGAAAGCTGGTGGAAGGTTTCAACCAGGGTAGCCAATGGAATCAGAAATTCATTTTAACAAGAAAGAACTTTTGGCAGAATGGAATGGAAGGGGTCATATAAGAAGAATGTTTCTTAACCTTGGCTGTACATTGAGTCATCTGGTGAACTTTTTTGGGGGGGCTGGGGGCAGCCTTCTGAGCCAGAGTATGCTCAGAGACTCCAGTCATCTGGGAAATTTAAAAAAAATACTAACGTCTGGGCCTCACTGCCAGAGTCTGATGTAACTGATTTGGGGTGTAGCCTGGCATTTGGATTGTTTTGTAAAGCTCCCGACTTGATTCTAATGTACATCCAGTGTTAAGAATGACTGGATTGAAGATCAGAAGATTTTGTAGTCATCAAGTCAGGAAATGAAGGCTAAACTAAGCTGGAAGCACTTAGAATTAAAACATGTTAAGGAGTTGGGATAGATTGGACTTGTGAATGTGTGAGTGTATACATGTATGGTGGGTGCTTCTGGTATGGGTGGGTCACTAGAATAGGAAAAATGGGGAAGAGCAGGTTTGGGGAGAAAAAGGATGTATTTGTTTGTGGCATATAATGTCTGAAAGCCCATGACACATCCAAGTAGAGCTGACCAGTAGGCAGCAAGAAACCTTGATAAGGTAAAGTTCTGGGCTGGAGCTCAGACAGGGAAATCCCAGCACAAGAGGGCCAACAAAGAGTCAGGGCATAGATGAGCTCATGGCAGTGGGGAGAGGACAGTGAGTAGATGAGAGGGTGAGGAGGGAACCCAGCAGCAGCAGCAGCATTTAGGAGACGGTCAGGGGAAAAGCAGAGAGAAAGGGAGGCCAGAAAGTCAGAGGAAGGGGGCACCCAGCAAGGTCAGCAGAGAGGGCATGAGGTGTTAATGCTGAAAAGCACCATTAAGAGAGTGGCCTTGCAGAGAAGATTCCTGGGCGTTAAGCCGATTGAGTTGGGAAGGTGAGAGAAACTGCCCAGTCCTCCCTGGAGGCATGACAGGAAAAGGGAGGCTAGGGGTTAGTCAGCCAGGGACACTGGGCAGAGGGAGAGAGCTGAACCTGCTTCCATGCTGAGGAAAATAAGCAGGCAAGAGGGAAAGAATGCTGTCTCAGGAGAGATGGGTTAAAATTGATAGAGCTATGCTTGGGAAAATGAGACTAGAATAATTGTAGCTCACATTTATTGGGCACTTATTTTTGCCCAAAATGGTGTTAAGTGCTTTATATGCATCATCTTATTAGCCCTCACAACAACATTCTGAGGCAAGAACCATTGCTATTGCCACTTTACAGATGAGATGAGACACAATAATTCACTCAAAGTTACACAGCTAGTGTGATGGGGTCAGGAGGGGCACAGATTTAGAAAGCAGAGGATTCAACTTGAGCAGGGCAGATATGTCATCCCCTGAGCAGTGGTGACAGTAGGAACAGATGTTTCTGTCTGTAAGGTGACAGAGCAAGACCCTGTCCCTAAAACAAAACAAAAAGCCTACAAACAACACAAACAATCCCACTATAAAGGCATTATTATGAGACAAGGATACTGAGGCCCAAATAGCTTAACTTGCGCTAGTTCACTGGGGCCCTTCCCCAACCTCACTAAGGTGGTCTGCCAAGAGCGCTGTCGAAGGTGGTGATGAGTATGAGGATGAGGAATGAGGTCTTGAGTGAGTTCCAAGCATACAGTTGCTGGGGGAAATGGGGCATTTTTCTGACCTCAGTGAGGCCCTGAGTCTTTTGCATTGTGCGTGTAACTATGGCTGTTTCTGGGGTACACACACCCATTGGCACTAACTCCACCTGTTGTGTGTTTCAGAAAAGACAATAACCATTGGCCTGTTATTCTCCTATTTTGAGCAAAATGTACCTGAGAACACCTTCCTTAGACTCACCGCCATGGCAACATACTCTGAGTCCAGCCTTAGCTGCTTTGCTCAGGAAGACATTGCCATTTGTAAACCACACCTTGCCATCAAGGTAGGCACCAGTCCTCCCCTGAGTTGCCCTCAATCTGCCACCACTCAGGCCTGCATTTCAGAAGGAATCCAAGCCCCTTCAGAGCAGATGACTGTGCTACAGGATTACCAGAAAATGCTACATTTAAGAGCTTTATCTCTTGAGAGACATAGTTTCTTACATACCTTATTAAGGTTTAATCTTCCAACTTCTTTAGTTAGTTAAGTAAAGGTTTCTAAAATTGGGACATTCCTAGATGCTGCCTCCTACCTACAGGGATCATAATAGCCTATGTTTATTTAGCACTTCCTACACATGCCAGAGGATTTTTCACCTCCTTTTTCTTTCTAAGCCCTGTGAGGTGGAACTGTTCCCATTATTGAGATTAAAAAAAAAAAAAAAAAGGCTGAGTCCTAGAGAGCAACATGCCTAAGATCATAAAAACAGGGAGTTCTTGAGGCTTATGGCTGTTGGTCCAGCCCTCTTTCCATGTGTCTACCCTGGCCAAAATGAATGAAATCTGATCCGTGCCCTCAAGCAGGTTATAGTTTAGTTAGGAAGACACAACATTTGGTGTTCCAGACAAGTGCTTTAATAGATGCACAAAGTTGCTATGGAATAAGTGAAGCAATAAGTGAAGCAAAGGGGATTAATTCCAGCTGGTGGGTTTGGGGATGACTTTATGAAGGAGATGACATTTATGCTGGACCTTGAAAAATGAGTACTCTTTCAATATAGAGGTAAGGGAAGGCCATTGAATGCAGAAGACAGCAGAGGTGCAATGGAAGGTAGCCTGAGGGGTGTGTTGGGGATGGGACAGTCCCTGATGGGACTGGGATGTCACTTAGTTATGGGAAGAACAGGTGAGGTGGGGGAGGGAGGTTGGGGGAACACCATGAAGAACTCTGAATACAATGTAAGCTGAATTCCTAAGATGGTGGGAAAACTTCCGAGATGTCTGCATAGAGGAGAGGCACCATCACAAATCATCAGTGATGGACCAAGGGTGAGAATAAATGCAGGAAGAGCAGGTAAAGCGGGTGGAAGACATCAGCTATGAAGTTTGGGTCAGCTTGGCAGAGATGAAGAAACTTACTGAGGGTACAGGGGAGAAGAGAGTGACTGTGGCTTTGTCCTTGACATCCACACCAGGCATTGCCTCTTCCCACAGATGCCAGAGAAAGCAGAGCAATATCAACCCCTCACAGCCTCAGTCAGCATCCAGAATTCCCTAGATGCCCCCATGGAGGACTGTGTGATCTCCATCCTGGGAAGGGGGCTCATTCACAGGGAGAGGAGCTACAGGTAAGTGATGGCAGACTTCTCTTCCCCCTGAAATGTCTCAACAGGTCACAAAGGCAGGGCCCAAGAGAGAGACTCTCTCTTTGTCATGTCCTTGCAGACAGCAGATACCCACAGAAACTGAACTAAAGGATTAGGGCTACCAAGTGGCTTCCCTCATCCTGGGACCACTATATCTGTAGGAGAATAGGAGTGAGGAAGGCTATGTGAGCCCCTTGGGCACCTACTTGCCCTCATTGCTGCCCTGATCATGCAGGGAGAGCCTGGGTATTGCTGTGAATGCAGGCGAGGGCATTAGGGCTGGGTATTGGAAAGTAATGAAGGGAGGACAGGCTACCTCTCATTGTGATCAGAGGGCTGCATTCTGGTAGTTACCACCACAATACACAATTTATTCCCTTTTATTCCCATTTTCACCGCCATCCTTCATGTCCTTTTATTTGTACATGTAAAATGTGTACTGTTGCTTTCATGAGCCTGTATTTTTAACTTATATAAATTTATAATTAATTGGTTTTCTTACTTTTCACTCAGAACTATATTCTTAAGATTTATGACTATATGTCTTCTGCTACATAATATTTCATCATGTACACCCACCACTTTCTGCCACTCTGCTCTACAGAGATGGGCACCCAGAGTGCCTCCAACTCTGACACTGAAAATAATGTTGCAGTGAACATCCTCACATAGGTCTCCTTATATACTTGTTTGAAATTTTGGTGGAGTCTGAGGACATATATACCCAGGAATAGAATTGCTGAGTCACTGGATATGATGTGGTTTGAACAGGTACTGTCAGATTTGCAGAATGGCTGCAAGTCTCCACTCCCTCCAGCAGTACCTGAGAGTTTCGATATTCCTACCTCTCCTTCATTCCTGGCAATACCCAGCTATTAATATTTTCTTCCAGTCTAATAAAAATGAAGTAATATCTTACTATTGTTTTAATTGAAACTCTTCATATGTTTGTTAGCCTTTTATGTTTTCTTCTCGGTAAGTAGTTTGTCTTTATTTTGCCCACTTTTCTTTTGGTGTCTCTGCTCTTCCTTCTTGTTGATTTGTAGAAGTTCCCTGTATAGTCCATGTATTAGTCTCTTGTTGATTTTAAATGTTGCGAGTATCTTCTTTCATTATGTCCACTGCATCCTTAGTTGAATACACAGTATAAAGTTCAAGATACCCATACCTACTGTCCTGAGGTCCCTAGCAGATGTGTGAGTTACTGAGTCACTCTTGCTAATAAGTCAATAAGGGGACTGTCAACACTTAACCAGACTTCTGTGGTCTCCCAAATCAACTGTGGGGCAAAGCTCCTCAAAGGAAGTCTGTCACCAAAAGAAGGTTTATAGGCAGGCCAGGAGGTTTTGACAAGGCTCCACACACCACCTGCTGACATACTGACAGCCTCTCAATAAGCCTGCTACATCTACTGTGCTTAGCAATAAGCAAAGGTTCCAAAACTAGAGTTCTCTGTATTAGTTTATGTTCATCCTGCTGTGCTGATAAACACATACATGAGAAGAAAAAGAGTTTTAACTGGACTTACAGTTCCACATGGCTAGGGAGTCCTCAGAATCATGGAGGGAGGTGAAAGGCACTTCTAATATGGTGGTGGCAAGAGAAAATGAGGAAGAACCAAAAGTGGAAACCCATGATAAACCCATTGGATCTTGTGAGACTTACTATCACAAGAATAGCATGGGAAAGACCAGCCCTTGTAATTCAATTATCTCCTCCCTCTCACAACACATGAGAATTCTGGGAGACAGAATTCAAGTTGAGATTTGGGTGGGGACACAGCCAAATCATATCATTCTGCCCCTGGTCTCTCCAAATCTTATGTCCTCACATTTCAAAACCAATCATGCCTTCCCAACAGTTCCCCAAAGTCTTAACTCATTTCAGCATTAACCCAAAATCCACAATCCAAAGTCTCACCTGAGGCAAAGTAAGTCCCTTCCACCTATCAGCCTGTAAAATCAAAAGCAGGCTAGTTACTTCCTAGATACAATGAGGGTACAGGTATTGGGTAAATACAGCTATTCCAAGTGGGAGAAATTGGCCAAAACAAAGGAGTTACAGGGCCCAGGCAAGTCCAAAATCCAGCAGGGCAGTCAAATTTCAAAGCTCCAAAATGACCTCCCTTAACTCCAGGTCTCACATCCAGGTCACACTGATGCAAGAGGTGGGCTTCCATGGTCTTGGGCAGCTTTGCAGGGTACAGCCTCCCTCTCAGTTGCTTTCAGTTGCTGTCTGTGGCTTTTCCAGGTACACAGTACAAGCTGTTGGTGGATCTACCATTCTGGGGTCTAGAGGATGGTGGCCCTCTTCTCATAGCTCCACTAGGTAGTATCCCAGTAGGGACTCTGTGGAGGCTCTGACCCCACATTTCCCTTCTGCACTGTCCTAGCAGAGGTTCTCCATGAGGGCCCCACTCCTGCAGAAAACTTATGCCTGGGCATCCAGACATTTCCATATATCTTCTGAAATCTAGGCAGAAGTTCCCAAACCTCAGTTTTTGACTTCTGCACACCTACAGGCTCAACACCATGTGGAAGCTGCCAAGGCTTGGGGCTTCCACCCTCTGAAGCCATAGCCCAAGCTGTATGTTGGCCCCTTTCAGCCACAGCTGGAGTGGCTGGGACACAGGGCACCAAGTCCTTACCCTGCGCATAGCACAGGGACCTTGGCCCTGGCCCACTAAACCAATTTTTCCCCCTGGGCCTCCAGGCCTGTGATGGGAGGGGTTGGCATAAAGGTCTCAGACATGGCCTGGAGACATTTTCCCCATGGTCTTCAGGATTAATATTAGGCTCCTTGCTACTTATGCAAATTTCTGCAGCTGGCTTGAATTTTTCCCCAGAAAATGGATTTTTCTTTTCTATTGGATAGTCAGGCTGCAAATTTTCCAAACTTTTATGCTCTGCTTCCCTTATAAAGCTGAATGCCTTTAACAGCACCCAAGTCATCTCTTGAATGCTTTGCTGCTTAGAGATTTCTTCCACCAGATACCCTAAATCATCTTTCTCAAGTTCAAAGTTCCACAAATCTCTAGGGCAAAATGCCACCAGTCTCTTTGCTAAAACATAACAAGAGTCACCTTTGCTCTAGTTCCCAACAAGTTCCTTATTTCCATCTGAGACCACCTCAGCCTGGATTTTATTGTCCATATTGCTATCAGCATTTTGGGCAAAGCCATTCAACAAGTCTCTAGGAGGTTCCAAGCTTTCCCACATTCTCCTGTCTTCTTCTGAGCCCTTCAAACTGCTCCAATCTCTACCTGTTATCCAGTTCCAAAGTCACTTCCACATTTGCAGGTATCTTTTCAGCAATGCCCCACTCTACTGGTACCAATTTACTGTATTAGTTTGTTTTCAGGTTGCTGATAAAGACATACCTGAGACTGGGAAGAAAAAGAGGTTTAATTGGACTTACAGTTCCACATGGCTGGGGAGGCCTCAGAATCATGGTGGGAGGTGAAAGGCACTTCTAACATGGTGGTGGCAAGAGAAAATGAGAAAGAAGCAAAACAGAAACCCCTGATGAGCCCATTATATCCTGTGAGGCTCATTCATTATAAAAAGAATAGCACAGGAAAGACCGACTCCCATGATTCAATTACCTCCCCCTGGGTCCCTTCCACAACACATGGGAATTCTGGGAGATAGAATTCAAGTTGACATTTGGGTGAGACATAGCAAAACCATATCACTCTTCCAAAGAGACTCCAGTACCCTTACCAGGAATTGAACCAGAAGCAAGTCACAGATGACAAAAGCAACAACAGATGTAGCTTGGTAGCCCTTAGGATGTGTCTATTCTCAACCATGCAGTTGCTCAGCATTGGGTGGCTCCTGTCTTCTATTCCATTGTAAACACTTCTATTTTAATAGCAAGATACTTAGATGTTTATTTGTACATGGTCCACTTCTTCAAGCAAGGAAAGATCAGTCACTGGGACCAGCAGAGAAATGAATCTGGGATAGAACTACCATCTGCCTTTTCCTTTATTTCAGATTCGGTTCAGTGTGGCCCGAAAACACCATGTGTACCCAGTTCCAGTTCACGCCGACACACTTGGGGCTCCAGAGGCTCACTGTGGAAGTGGACTGCAACATGTTCCAGAACCTAACCAACTATCAAAGTGTCACTGTGGTAGCCCCTGAACTGTCAGCTTAAACTTCAGCTCTAGCACCACTCTCCTGCCAGCCCTTGATTCTACAATCTAAATCAAACATGTGCTAGGAAGAGAAACTTTGCATCTCAGTGTTTGTGTTGCTATAAAGGAATACCTGAGGCTGGGTAGTTTAAAAGAAAAGAGGTTTATTTGGCTCACAGTTCTGCTGTACAAGAAACAGTGAAGGCTTCAGGCTGCTTCCACTCATGCAGGAAAGTGAAGGAGTTGACATAAGCAGAGATCACAGGGCAAGAATGGGTGGGGAGGGGGTAGGTGCCAGGTGCCAGCCTCATTTTAACAGCCAGCTAGGGAGTGAGGGAGGGATGTATAGAGTGAGAACTCACTCATTACCCCAAGGACAGAACCAAGCCATTCATGAGGGACCCAAACACCTCCTATTAGGCCCTACCTCCAACACTGGGGATCAGATAGCCAAACTACATCACTTTGTAGCCAAACTACATTTCAACATGAGGTTTGGAGGATCAGACAGCCAAACTACATCACTGTGTTTATCAGACAAATGAGTAGTCATTCAAGCTGGGCAGAAGAGTGACCAAGAACAGAACTAGATGCCCAGAAATCAATAATTAAGACGTTTATTTCTGTCACCCTAGCTAAGGCAGCCATGAAGACCAGTTGTCTTACAATAGACACTAGTGGGTGAAGTGACAAAAAGAAGCCTTTGAAAAGGTGCTCAGATACCTTTTCAAAGTACATTCAGATTTTCAGGTTCAGGGTTTTTGCAACCATTTTACTGCTCATTAATACACTCAATAACTTGCAGGTAAGGGAAAGAACCTAACACTTAAATCATTCTTATATTTCTCATGAAGTGGGATGATCTTATCCTACAATGGAATTTTTAGGTAATCTTAGAATTACATTGGTCAAGCTTGGTGCAATGGCTCACACCTGTAATCCCAGAACTTTGCGAGGCTGATGTGGGCGGATCACCTGAGGTCAGGAGTTCGAGACCAGCCTGGCCAACATGGTGAAACCCCATCTCTACTAAAAGTACAAATATTAGCTGGGTGTGGTGTGCTCATTTGTACTCCCAGCTACTTGGGAAGCTGAAGCCAGAGAATCACTTGAGAACCCGGGAGGCAGAGGTTGCAGTGAGCCAAGATTGTGCCATTGTACTACAGCTTGGGGGACAGAGCAAGACACCATCTCAAAAAAATACATATATATACATTGATCAGTGCTTTCTCTGATTGTTATCCTTAAAGATCCAAACATGACTGAACAAAGTTATATAGGGCCTGAGAGAATTATTCGGCTATAGATAAATCTTTATATTAGAGTTCTATGTTATTAAGTATCCCACAATTAAAGTCTGATGTTAATAACATGAATTTGGTCCAGTAGAAAAATATTTTTTAAAGAAGTATATAAAAAATAGGCTCTATAAGAAGAAAGAACTAGACTCCTTTTGTACAAAGTTATTTTGTTTGTTATTTTGTTGCCTTGGCACTCTATCAGTTTAGTTTTAGTTCCTTCCCTTTATGACACTTATTAACAGTACAAAATGGCACTTTCAAACAGTAAATTAAAACACATTTGGCTTAAGGAATTTCAACCCCCAGTATACACTAGTCACTCAAAGAATGACTGTTGCTGATTATACCTAGAGAGAGTAGAAAGGCATATGTGAAGAATTACACCTACAGAAGGAAAAGGACAGGCATTAGAGGTGGTGGGGGCCTGCAGCACATGCAGAAGGCCCAATTCAGCTCACCAGAATATACATCACTACAGGTTTACGCTGCTTTCCAGTATGAAGTCTTCTAGACTGATGCAAAAGTATAATTAAGTGGTGATGGTTTTGCAAAAGGATGAACTGAAAAGGCCCTTAAAATTACATAAAATCTCTTATACACTAAAAAAATGTTGATTTGTAAAAATTTGGTATTTACATTTGGGGACACATGTAACAGAGGACAATACAAATACATATAAGGAAATAAATCTGTTCAACAAGGTGGGCAAACCTAACAGCTCAATGCCAATATATTTTAGAGACATGGAGTAACCTGAGATAATATTCAGAAGGACTTGTTGATAATAATATATAACATGGTGAAATACTAAGATGAATTTTGGAGTAACCTTTTCTAAATAAAGGGTTTTGTTCTAAATACACTTCTGATCAGAATCAGATTTTTAAACCTACAAACCCAAATGAAAGCAATGTTTTAGTCTCAATCCACTGTATTTCTGGTAAAAAGAAACTTTGGAAGGGCACTCAGTCACTGGCAGGTTAGCATTTTATTGAGACCATCAACATCTTTACAATGAAAACAATTTACAGCAAAAAGCAAATAAGGCAGCTTTCCTAGGAATCTCTGAGAAATGACTTAGGAATGAGAAATCATGCAATTATTTTTTACATATAGCACAGAAAAATATATTACTTGCATATGGTTTATAAATAGGTGCCAATCTAGACTAACCAACAATCTTTGGTAATAGTGTCTCTTGCTAAATATAAACAGGCACTCCCTTTCAATCCAGCAAGCATTCTAGCTCCATTTTAAAAGGAGACATCAGAGCCTGACCATTATGGTGAGAAGGGGAGAAGAGAATATAAATGAACCTGAAAACTCATAATTCAAGTTCACTCTGAGTGAGCTCCTTGATTCTATTCATGCAATGATCAATGGCATTAATAAGTAAAGGGATCCAACTATCTTCTGGCTGAGGGGTCACATGACTTGCTCTATGAATAGAATAGAAAAAAATAAGTTAAACTTATTAGGGTGTCAAGGGAAAACCTATCCTCAGGAGGAAGCACAGGGAAAACTAATTTTTTTAAAGGGGTGCTTCTTTGCAGAAACTTAGATGCCCCATAACTGAAGTTGAAAGAAAATCCCACACCCACCCTTTCCCACTCCTTGAAATGGGGGCTTAGGAGTTGAGAATGTCTGGACAGGAGCTCCATTTTACCCTCAAAAAGTTATCTGAAAAGTCTTCATACTTACTTTGTGATTTCAAGTGCCTTCTTTAAGACTGACACAAGTTTCGCAGACTAGAAAAGAAACATAGAAGTTACCCTGAGCCCTACCATAAAAAGGCAAGCTCAAATATTTTGAAAGACCCAAATGATTAAAAAATATATATTTAGAAAAAGAACCCTGAAGGAAGCATGCAAAAACAAAAATGCTGATTACGTTGGGGTGATGGGATTATGGGTTCTTTTCTTTTTAGCAAGATCTTGTTAATACTGTTACTATAATGTTTCCTGTTTTTTTTTTTTAAACCTTATAAAGGATTTTAACACTGCCAATATAATAATAACATGGAGACGTTTCTCTACTAACAATACAAAAATTAGCTGGGCATGGTGGCGTGTGCCTGTAGTCCCAGCTACTCAGGAGGCTGAGGCAGGAGAATTGCTTGAACCCAGGAGGTGGAAATTGCAGTGAGCCAAGATCGTGCCACTGCACTCCAGCCTGGTGCCTGGTGAGGGAGTAAGACTCTCTCTCTCTCAAAAAAAAAAAGATACATGTGCAGTACGCCTTTAAAAATTGCTAGAGCAGATGCTGTGTTTGGGATAGCTGACTAGGCACACTGCTAAAGATGTTTATTTCTTAGGAAGTCAATTTTTAAAGTTAATGCCCAAAAGGATCCTATTCTACTTCAAGGTGTTTGTACATCCTGAAGAACATCTGACGAATCTAGTTTCCATTATCCAGTTTATCAGCTATTACTAGAATTGATATGTTCAACTTTAAAATATAAGCCATTTGGCAGTTTTAGTGTTCTTTCCAATAACATTAGAAAGAACTCTCTCCAGTAAAAGGCACAGAACTTCAAAGAATACAATGAAATCAGATATTTATAAGAAACTTGACTCTCCATGGTTAAATCACACAATGGGTTTGTATTAGAACAGAGTATGTTTCTGTAACACTTATTTCTGTCTAAACTAGAATTAAGAAACTGCGACCTCAGCGAGCTACTTCACCAATAGCTAGAGTTCAATCTAATTGCTACCTAGTCTAGAAATTAGAAACGTGTGACTTTAGGTTGAGAAGTTCCTAAATTACTGTGTAATTAAGACTTTCTTTTCAAAGAAGCATTTTCTTTTCTTTTTTCTCTTTTTTTTTTTTTTTTGAGACGGAGTCTTGCTCTGTTGCCCAGGCTGGCGTTCAGTGGCACAATCTCGGCTCACTGCAACCTCCATCTCCTGGGTTCAAATGATTCTTCTGCCTCAGCCTCCTGAGTAGCTGGGATTATAGGCATGTGATGCCCAGCTAATTTTTGTATTCTTAGCAGAGACAAGGTTTCACCATGTTGGCCGGGCTGGTCTCGAACTCCTGACCTCAGGTGATCCGCCTGCCTCAGCCTCCCAGAGTGCTGGGATTACAGGCGTGAGCTACCATGTCCAGCCTCAAAGCAGCATTTTCTAAGGCCTTTAGGCTTTTCTAAATGATTACCCAGGTGATTATGGAAGAGAGAACTACCAAAGCTCATGGCTATTAATAATTAAACTTTAGCAACTATTTATTAAGCACAAATGCATGCGAGAATTGTGACATTATTGTTGTACTTCCATCCAAATGTGACAAATAAATATGTACACTATAGCTTAGAGGAAATACTAATGATTAGTGAAATTCTTCCCATTAGATCTGTAGCTATTCCCTCAAAGCCAGTACTTACATTGATTCGCACAGTCAGGTGACACATAGGTGGATATATGCTCAGAGCCAAATCATCCACACTAAGAGCAGAAAACAAAAGTAACCATTAACAAAAAAAAGAAATGCAGCCAGGTTGTTTCTAGTACACAACTATGGATGTCAACAGTGAGAAACTGTCCCAGAAATGCCTGTCAGTTTTTTTTTCCTTTTTTCTTTTTGCTTATCTGACATCCAGGAAGCCTGTCAGTTTTTAAAACTGGGCAATTGGGCAACTAATGCAGAATGAGTTCAACCAGTCTTTATTGAAACATGCATATCCCATTTCACGAGGAAGCTGGGGGAAAAATTCCCTTGGTTCATAGTAGGGTGCATGATCGATTCAGTCAAAAATGTGAGGATGTGAAACCATCAGTTTAATAACTAATGTAGGCAGGCAGGTTCATCAATGGAACTAAAATTAGAATAAAAGTTACCTTTCCTAAAGTGAGCGCCACTTTAACCAAGTGATCAAATTTAGAACCACCAATAATGAGGCAAACCAACATCATGTACCTCCCTGATATGATAAAATGAGAAGCACAAAACATTCAATTACATAACATTCTTGCAAAAAATGAGAAAACAATCACATGAATCCGATTGTTGGATATTTTACAAGACAACTGACCTGATTTCTTTTTAAAATGTTGATTTTTAGAGACTACAAAGGATAGGAACTGTTCTAGCTTTCAAGAGACTAAAGAGATGACAATTAAATGCAATGTGAGACCTTGATAGAACCCTGAATTTAGATGACATTTTAGATAGAGGCAACTGGAGAAATCTAAATATTAGATAATATTACATTCAATGTCAAATTTCTTGGATGTGACAATAAGAGCAGGAATAAAAGTACTTCAGGAGATACATACTTAAGTATTTAGGAGTGAATGTCATTGCTTTCTGCAATTTACTCTCAAATCATTCTGGAATAAATATGAAACATCTATCTTTTGAGAAATAAACCAATACAGGAAAAAATGTGAACAATAGGCGAATCTAATGGAAGGATGTAGGGGTGTTCACTGAAGTACTTTTTTTACTTTCCTATATGTTTGAAAACTTTCAAAATATAAATAAACTGGGAAGAAACCTTGGGGTGATAGTACAAACTGAGATCAGAATGCTGCTGCTCAGATGTTTCAAGTGGGGGTCACACTCACCTAGGGCTGATTTCATCAGAAATATCCACAATGTCATCCAGCTGTGCCACCTGATCCTTCTTCCCATTCTCTGCCACTAAGATCCGGATTTTCTTCAGGCAGGCTTTGGATGCTCTCACCAGTGCAAGGCATGGGATTATGAGCTCTTGATCATCCTCTGACCAATACAAGTCCTGATTGCTTGGAAACCCCAACACATCATCCTCATCATTGTGGTTGTCGGAGTTGTTCTCCTCAGTATCATTCAAGAGGCCAGAGTAAGGGTCACATTCTTCCACAGCCTAAGACATACCATGATGTATGTGCAAAAAATAAGAGAAAAAGCAAAAAAAGGGGGCCTATTATACTTTTAGCAGCATGCCTTCGTTGTCCAAAAACCTTAGCCAGCCACTTCACTAATAGCTATGGAGTTGAATTACTTCACAAACCCTGTTTTCGCTCTCCTTGTCCAGTAAGGGAACAGAGAAGAGTGGTACTAAATCACACACAAACAAGGAATGACAGATGGAAGACAGAGGACAGTAGTGAGAATAAGACCTATCTGGTCAATGCTTAGGGAATCTCTCTCTATAATCAACTCTCATCTACTAGTCAAAGAGTTGCCTTCCAGCGATGAAGGTCCCCTCACCCGCTCCATTTCTTCATGTGCATCCTTCACAAAGTCCACATTCTTGGTCAGCATCAAAAGAGCTGCAGCTTTGTTATCTATGAGTGAAAGATCAGAAGCACTAGAATTAGAGGAGAAACCCAACAATTTTCTTAAGACTGCAAAGGACAACCACACTGTTCCTAATGAAGGCAGTGCCAAGGATGGTTGACAACAGTGGTGGTTTAATCTAAAATTCTTCTCACTACATCCCCTGGTATCTAGACAGGAGTATCAAAAGCTTGTATTTTATTTACCACAAGAAGAAATGAAATGGTCACATGATGTTTATCATCACGGTCCTCTTGGACAACCACTGTTTTTGCCTAGCTGGCTCTACCTAATAACTGCTTCAGTGTGTTCCATAATACTACTCTTGGGGTAGGACTAGGAAAATAAACTGTATTTGTTCAACAAGAGACAGAACCACAGCAAGGGGGAGTGGAATTTAGAAATATGAAAACTAGAGAATGACAAAAGTATTAATACCTATCACTTCTGGTAATATAATATATATATATTTCACCAGACTGTTTATATAAATTCAAATATACATGTTATAAAGCAGGAAAAGGTCTCTCTGCTTTGGCCAGCAGACATGGCCCACTTCCCACTTTCACTCACCTCTTGGTATCTGAGGCATCTGCTGGCATGCAACCCAGACACTGTTGTAGGAAATAAGGTCGTTGTTCTCAGGGCTGGGGAAAGAAATCAGTAAGGATATATCAATAACCTAGGTTCCTGTCTTGTAAAAAGCTCCTTCCTGCTGGTCATTACTCTCAGCTGTCAGTAACTTTGCTGTTAAAATGAGCTTTTCCCCTCTCAGGCAAGGAGCCCAATAACTGATAACCTAAACTGTGGCATCACTACCTCTGAGTTGGAGTGATGGAAAGTACTTCCATGAGCTGAGCCATGCCATCCACGATGTCCAGGGTGGCGCCCCGTACCAGCTTTCTCAGGGTGATTCCTGTGGCCAAACCCAAAGAATAAGCAGTCTGGTGTTCTTTTCAGAAGCAGCATCTGCTTTCCTGAGTCTAAGCATTAAAGAATATAAGATAATGTACATCCACATGCTTTAACCTACATGCTAACACAAAACTCAGGTCTTACTTATATCCCCATGGCATTTTCTTGCCCCTCCTGCCATTTCTTAGTGTTTTCTTCAAAAGAGATCTGGAACAAAATCTTTCTGTGACATCATGTATTCATTCATTAAGGACCATGACCTCATAACAACTGTAGATGAAACACTTGAAGTTTAAACCACTTGAGTAGTAACCCTGAAGATCTATGACATGTATTCAGTTATAATTTTGGCACGATTATAATCAACGCATGATTCTACAGGCAGGGCTGTAGGCCATTTAACCTGTGAAGATGTTCCAAAATAGGGTGAGATATAACATGGGTGGAGGAGAGTAAGGATGACCTGAGCCTTCATATGGGGCTGAGAGCCAGCCAGTATCTGTGGTGTTAAAAATGGGTTTGAGAGGGAGGAGCCTGCGAGAATTAAAAGCCTTAAGATTCAGGCAAGGCAGGGGAGATGGGAAGTAATAGAACAAAGCATCTGTATCTTAGAATAATGGCTTGTTTATAGAAGTTATTTACATTATAAAATTATCTCTGACTGTGTTTTATGGGAGAAAGTTACATGTTCAAGTTGGGTAAAGGTAAAAATCACAGGACATAATCCACAATATCAGCAAAGATCTGCACTATAAATGCAACACTTATATGGCTTACCCTGATCCTTTGGAAACAAATAGTATACTGCAATAAATGCCTTGATGGCAGCATGGACTTGTTCACAGAACTTCTGGGTTTCCTATGAAAAAGGAAACAGATTAGATCATAATCCTTCCACTGTGGAATAGAGCAAATTTTTCTTTTCTTTTCTTTTTTTTTTTTTTTTTTTTTTTTTTGAGACAGAGTCTTGCTTTGTCAACCAGGCTGGAATGCAATGGCACAACCTTGGCTCACTGCAACCTCCACCTCCCAGGTTCAAGCAATTCTCCTGCCTCAGCCTCCCAAGTAGCTGGGATTACAGGCACCTGCCACCACACCTGGCTAATTTTTGTATTTTTAGTAGAGATGGGATCTTGCCATTTGGCCATGCTGGTCTTGAACTCCTGACATCAGGTGATCCACCTGCATTGGCCTCTCAAAGTATTGGGATTACAGGCGTGAGCCAACATGCCCAGACTAGAACAGATATTTCAACAGCATTATCAAACATTTTCTGAAGTCCTGGTATGAAGTTAGGCCTTCTGCTATACTGATCACATACCAAAGAGGAGTTAGTTATATAGTATACACTGGGCTGACAACTCAATAAACCATTAAAAAACAGCAGGAAAAAACTTATTCCTGATACTCTGTGTCCAAAGATATTCATGATATCTTAGGCCAGCAGTTGGCAAACTGTGGTCCACAGGCCAACTCAGGCCCCACTGCCTGTTTTTGTAAATAAAGTGTATTGGGACACAGCTATGCTCACTGGTTTAAATGTCTGTAGTTGTGTTTGCTCTACAAGGGCAGAGTTGGGTAGCTGGTTACAAAGTATAAAGTATTTACTAACTGGTCCTTTACAGAAAAGAGAGAGAGAGACAGAACAACTGATGGACCAGCTTCTATATTAGTCCATTAATCTGTCTCTCTCAACAGAATCACAATATGTAACTAAAGGTACTAGCATGGACTCAACAATGTTCCATGTTGACTATTTTTCTTCTAAGTGGTCACTGGCTTTCTCATCTTCCTTGTCCTCAATTTTCTGTTAAATTCCAAGTCAATACTATGCAAATGTGGTCCAGGTTGGTGCCAGTCTACAAACTGTTTGTGACCAGTCAGGGATGAGATAAGGACAGTGACTGAGAGTGTTTAGAAACTTTTATGGCAATTTGACATTTCTTCAACATCCAAGCACATAATTTTATTAAAGTATCAGTCCATACAGACTGAAATTAAAAAAAAAACAAAACAACTCATCTTTTAGTAGGACTAAAGTGGTGAGATCCCAAGAAGGCAATGATGATTCATGTGTATATCTATATCTATATCTATATCTATAGATATAGATATATATGTGTGTGTGTATACATATATTTATTTGAATATATTTATATACATGAATATTTGTATATATTTCAAATAAATCCATATTCTAATTTTTCATCTATGAGAGTAACTACTATCCTGAGCATGTATAGAAAATCAGTTCTATGCTGCCTCCTCATGGTATCTTACTTGCAGTGAGTTTTAGCAACAAGTCCCAAGTTTATTTGAAAGAAACAGGTTAGCAGATAAGAAAAATAAGACAATATTAACTACTCTTTTTGAAATAAGTAGTCTATTTTCCATGATCTTTTGAAGTGCTCTCATACAATTCATCTCTTGTTTCCTCATAGAAAATCTCAAAGGCAAGCCAGGCACAGTGGCTCACACCTGTAATCCCAGCACTTTGCGAGGCTGAGGCCTGTGAATCACCTGAGGTCAGGAGTATGAGACCAGCTTGGCCAACATAGTGAAACCCTGTCTCTACTAAAAATACAAAAATTAGCTGGGCATGGCCGTGGACACCTGTAATCCCAGCTACTCAGGAGGCTGAGGCAGAAGAATTGCTTGATCTCGGGAGGCGGAGGTTGCAGTGAGCCAAGATCTTGCCACTGCACTCCAGCCTCAGAGACAGAGTGAGACTCTGTCTCAAAACAAACAAACAAACAAATTAACAAACAAACAAACTCAAAGGTATGTAGGGGGAGAGAGTTTATCATTGTAGGTACATGTAGCAGAAGATATTTATATTCTTTCCAAACACCTGTATATATAGACTGAGAAATTGAAACTATTGACTATGAAAATCAAATAAGACAATGAATATGCCATTTTACAAGAATCTTACTCCCATATTAAGGATACACAGCTCTAGAAAAACTGAGCATAGAGCATACCTGGTCATAGCCAATATGTTTACTTTCATTAGTTTTATCATAAAGGAATATTAAAAATGCATAAATTCTTTGTTCTAGCAATTCCACTTCTGGGATTTTTTTCTACTGATATACACACATAAACAGAATTAGATAATTCATCACAGAACTGTTTGCAGTAATTGTAATTTGGGAACAACTTAAATGTCCACATACAGTACTGCTTAAATAATGTTTATATCTACTCTATTGAATACCATGCAGTCATGACAAAGAACTGAGCAACTTTATAGGTACTGCTAAGAGTTGATTTCCAAGATATATTGTTAATTTCTATAAAGAAAGGTCCAGAACAGTTTATGGTATTTCATCATTTGTGTAAAAAGAAGCTGACATATACAGATAAATGTACATGAATATATATATGCACAGAATATATGTGGAATAATGCAAAAGGAACCGGGGGAGACAAAAATGAGAAAGTGGGTGAAAAGATAAACTTTTAGTATACTTAACTTTGATTTCTTTTGAATTTTATATTGTCTACATGTTACTGATTAAATATACAAAAATTCAATATAAAAAGGGTATTATGTAGTATAACAGAATAAGTGTAGCTTAGACCTCAGATAGATCTTGATATAAATCCTACCTCCCCTGCTTTTTAAAAAAATTTTAACCTGTGCGTCTGAGTCTGCTTGCTCAACTGTCAGATGGCCAACAAGTATGTGAAAACACCCAGCAAATAAAAAGTGCTTAAAAAATTATCAGAAAGGAAAACAACCAGGGTGAACTTCAGATTGAATCAATGTTTAGAAGACCTGCCTACTCTGCGTCAGGAACTGCACTTTCCAATTTGGTCTTCACATAATCGGGTGAAGGAAAAACGGTAACCTCATTGGACAGATGAAGAGAAATCTGGCGTGCATGTAAAAGATGGAAAGAAAATGAGAGGATTCCTAAATGTGTAACTCGGCAGCACAAGGACTCCAGGAAAGTGAAGCCCACCTGTGGAGATGGCAGTGGAAGCTGAGAGAAGACTGTGGTCAGAGTCGTGGCTTCCCTTGACACCATCACAGCTGTCTCATCTGAGGGGAGGCAGAGGGGGAGGCAGGTGCCAATATGTTAGTGCCGCACGGACTTGGAAGAAGCGCGTTCCCTTACCGACCGAGACTTCTCAAAAACATCTACCAATGTCAATGTTAGAATTCTATTTCACTCTCTCGGGTGCCGAGGTGGGTAAGGCATCCCACAGAAAGGATGCAGTGGGGGAGGGCAGTCCTCTCCCGCGGTGGGGAGCAGGAGGGAAAGGGCTTGGAACCCTAGAGAAGCTGAGGCAGGGGGAGCCCGGACAGGAGGCGCACTCACTGAGTCTTCTCCAGAACATCTCTCGATTAAACTCCTCAGTGGTCTCCTGGGCTTCGCCGACTGGTGGGTATGGCGTGTGGAGGGGCCGAACGGTGGCGAACAGAAAAGCTGAGGTAAGCGGAGCCACCTCCCTCACCCGAGCCCGGCCTCTCCCAGACCCCGAGCCCGCCCCTGCCGTCGCCCGTTCCAACTCCGTAAGCTCACCCCGCACTCGAGGCAGGAGCAACCGCAGCTCCACCGCCAAGTGCCTGAGCTGCTCCAAAGGCGGAGCCAAGGTGGGGACTGCGGTTGCAGGTGCCCCTGCGCTTGCCATCCTCGTCGCTCGCAGAAGGCCGCAAACACAGGCCTCCGCCGCCGCAGTGGGAGTCGCACTGTGACAGCCACTCTACTTCCGGGGCGCTGCGTCGGGGACTCGTTTCCGGCAACAAGCCGCCCCGCCCCGCCCCAGAGGCCCGGCCCCGCCTCCCCTCGCCCCACCCTGTCCGGCTCCCAGAGGTCCCGTACCACCCATTCCATTCTCAGAGACCAGGTCAGGCCCTGCCTCCTCCCGCTCCACCCCGCCCGGCTCCCAGAGGTCGCGTACCACCCATTCCATTCTCAGAAGCCAGGCCAGGCCACGCCTTCTCTCGCCCCAGAGGCCCCGCCACACAAGCAAGGCTCAGGCCCAAGGTATTTATTATTTATCATTCATTCATTTATTTGATTAGTTGAAAACACTTTCGACTAAGGAATCAGAGAGCCCGCAATCCTGTGGGAAAACAGACCAGGGAATTCATATCTCAGGGGTAGTCGGGGTCGGATCCAGATCCTCACAGTTTCCCTGTCCCTGAAACTGCATCTTTGACAGCTGCTGAATTCTAAGCACAGCGGTAGATGCTTTACATGGGGTAGCCCTAATAAACATACTGGGTCTCAGATACTCCCATACACACACACCTAACCCCTACCCTGTGGGTGTCCTAGATCAGGGTTTTCTCTTCACAAAAGTAAATCAACCCTTTACCTCCTTGGGGAGGGAAGGAATAAAAGCATCATTTTTGAGACTTTTCTGCAGTCCACTCTGCAGGTTATCAGTAGTGGGTAATCTCTCCAACATCCAGGAGTCCAAGGAGCAGCAGCTCCCTGAAGCTCACCCACCAATACTGGCCTTCCACCTACTACCGCGGTGGAAGCCTGGGCTACAGACACAGTGGCTGGGCTTACGCCCAGCTGCCAGTGGTGAGACATGGCCTTCAGGAGTTCAGGTGGCTTTTTAACTGCACCATGAAGATTCCAAGCTTGGTGGGGTTGAGTGTCCACACACAACGAATGAGAACAGGTGTCAACAGTGTCAACCAAGTCCGCAAAGGGGAGAATAAAAAAGCTAGGGTGCCGTATGTTGCATAAAGAAAGTAGCAGGAATAAACCTGCCAGATGTACAGCAGTAGCATAAGTAGGTGAACTGGCATAATTTTTAAGTATTTTCTTTGATGGAGATGAGACCTGAAGTTGTGACCGAAGCACCGCTGCAGCAAGCTCCAACATATGTAAGCCATCAAGGGGATGTTAAAAAACGCCAACTGGAAAAGAACAGAAACATAGCTTACTCCCAAGTCTCTGGAAGAGTTTGGTCTTAATAATGCATTACTGACGGATCCTAAGAATATGCTGCTTTCTGTCTTGGGGTTAGCTAATTATGCTTCAAGCACAGTTGCTTATAACACAACAGCTGACTTGTGGCTAGTTGTGTATTTGCCCATGTCCTTTTATTCATTTTAGAGGCAGGTATCATTTAATTTATATTGAAGTCCCAATGATGTTTAGCTGGACTTGAACTGAGTAAATGTATACACACACATTATACATACAACACATACACATACAACAAAATGTCCATTATAGAGCTTACATTCTAACGGGGAGAAGAAAGACCAAAAAAATAAACAAAACATATAATTACAGATGGTGATTAGTTCAGTGAAGGAAATAACTGGGTCATGAGAAGGTAACTGGGAGAAAGGCTCTCAGAGGCCAGAAGTACAGGAATGAATCAGCGGAGGGAAGTACATTCCAGGCAGAAGGAACGAATGAAAAGCCCAGAGGTGGGAGAGGTCTTGGCAAGACCTCTTGCAGAGTATGAGCCAGGTGGAAACTGGAGCAGTCGCCAGGACCCAGATCACTGCTCTGCTTTAAAGCATTTCAAACTGAAAAGTGAGTGAGCTGATTATAAAGTTTTTAAAGGACCACACTGGATACTCTGTATTAAACTGAGAATAAGGAGGCAAGAATATCAGTGAGAAGACCCAGGCATGACATAATTATGACTTAGACTAGGGTAACAGAAATGGAGAGAAGTGGATGGATTCAAGATATGCACTGGAAGCAGATCAAACAAGGTACAGCTTGCTGGTGAAAGAGATACAGAGTAAGAAGGAAAGGGAATAACTGAGGATAAATCTTGGAGAAATCAGGTGAATGGTGGAGTCACTTACTAAAACTTAAAAAACAGAGGAACAGGTTTGGGGGTGGATATAATATTCCTATTAGAGAGATATCATGTTAAGTTGAGATGCCTGTTAGACATCTATGGCCGTTTGATATAGAGGCACTTGAAGTGCAGAGAAGAGGTCTAGATCAGAGATATAGATTTGGGAGTCATGAGTCTGGATATGTAAAATCCATTATTACTGTACTATGTATTATGAATGTAAACATTTACAAAAGAAAAAACCCTGCCTTTTGGTAAGGCTCAGGATTCACTTGGTATGCGAGAGCTCCTTAGAGACCGCCTCCATTACGTAATAGAAAACTGAAATAAGGCTGGGTGTGCTGGGTCACACCTGTAATCCCAGTACTTTGGGAGGCTGAGATGGGCGGATCACCTGAGGTCAGGAGTTCAAGACCAGCCCGGTCAACATGGTAAAACCCCATCTCCACTAAAAATACAAAAATTAGCCAAGCGTGGTGGTGGCCACCTATAATCCCAGCTACTCAGGAGGCTGAGACAGAAGAATCACTTAACTAGGGAGGTGGAGGTTGCAGTGAGTCAAGACCTTGCCATTGCACTCCAGCCTAGGCGACAAGATCAAGACTCTGTCTCAAAAAAAAGAAAAAAGAAAAGAAAATGGCCGGGCGCGGTGGCTCAAGCCTGTAATCCCAGCACTTTGGGAGGCCGAGGCGGGTGGATCACGAGGTCAAGAGATCGAGACCATCCTGGCCAACATGGTGAAACCCCGTCTCTACTAAAAATACAAAAAATTAGCTGGGCGTGGTGGTGCGTGCCTGTAAACCCAGCTACTCAGGAGACTGAGGCAGGAGAATTG